AAAGACACAAGAATGGAAGGGACATCCAAAGCCAAGGAACACTTCTTCCAAGCGCTGTGGAAAATCCTTTAGAATACTATGACCTGGATCCAAAGTTGATAAACATGCAGTCGTGAGGGTAGCCACGATGATAAGATTCAGGGACCCTAGCACCATATCCCAGCTAACACAAAGAGCTTGTTGAAGAGTGGCCTTCAGCCTTTGGTAGAAAAGGGGGATTCAACTGCCACAAGGGAACCCCAACATTTCCAAAATTGTGACGCACTCAATCTTTATTGCTCTTGCAGCAAAAATATATTCATAAGCTATAGGCATCGAGAAAGAGATCCGTGGAACAAAGGATCATGGTTTCCAGAGAAAGGACCAGTCCCAGATTCATGGGAAGCAGGTCATCGGGCCAGTACATAAACCTTCACAGGAAACAAGAGTTCCTACATCCAAATATGGTAGCGAACAAGGAGGGTCATGTATGAAAAAAATCATAGAGAATAAGTGACATTGAAAAGATGCCGAGTGGTTATAATGTCATCCTCCCCATATGGGGGGGGGGTCCCTAAGGGTGGGCTCTGCAGGTGGACTCTTTGGTGTGTCTGGAGGCAGAGTGACACTGGCCAGATGTGAGCATCTACTGGTCTGCAGATGGGAAGACCCAATGTGGGGTTCTATGGCAACATAGCTCACCTCAGCACTGAGCTCTGCACCCCATAAGATGCTTACAGATCTAGATACCACTATAGCTCTTCAAACTGCACACACACTCACACACATACACACATATGCATACTCATACAGACTCTCACACATATTCACTTACACACACATACACATACTCACACTATCTCACACACATACACATATTCATACACACTCTCATATACATACACACACACACACACACACACACACACACTCACATACACATAAAGCACGATCACCACCACCACCATCACCTCAGCAAAACAGCCCTGACCACCGCCTCACTTGCCAGTCCTTTGCCTGCAGTATATAACCGTTGGCTCCACTTTCTAGGAATTAAAGTTTCTTAACCCCGTCTGCCTGGTTTTCACCTATGCAGGAAGGAACTTTGACTAAGTTTTGTGCGTAGAGATATGCAACACCGTAGACTTTAAATCTGACTGCAGATTTTAGAATGACCAGGGACTCCGGAGGTCTCTGAGCACTGATAAGGCAGGCGTACAGGGTGGAAGAGCCCTCCCTCCATTCAGGGTGATGTTACTGTGACGTTCGAAGCAAAGCAATTCCCTCTGAACAGCTGACAAGAAGTCCCTCTTACATCAAAATATAAGGAATATGGCATCAGGAATGGCCAAGGCCAGAGAGACGGGGACACAGAGATCACACACAGGCAGAGGGGCAACAGCCCCCCTTCCCTCTATTCTAGCTCAGTTAAGAACCGCATGCCAGTTTCCCCTGGGAAGCTCATTTTCTCATTGCAGGCACCTTTATATTCCAGCTCCAGGACAGACACCCCCAATTGCCTAGTTTGAAAAGTGCTAAGAAAACTGGAATTTTGTAGCTAATAAAACTTAAAAGAAGGGCACCCCCCCCCCCGCCCAGGGAAAAACTACAGCCACCCCCATCCCCAGGTTTTCTTCCCGTGAGGACGTCTAACTTCTGAATTAGCCACGTAAAGCAAGGGAACTTGGAGAGCCCGCTCCCTACGCTCCGGGTTTACATTTTAAAAGACCTGGTTGTAATTTAAAAGAATCCTATATCCCTCCACCAGCCCCGGGAGGCGGCTAGGTCACCGGAGTGAATGACCTGGAGAAGAGGAAGAGGTGGCCTGGTATGAGGCTTTCCCGAGCCGGGTCACTATCGTGCCCCGACTTAGTTGGAATTTTATCTTAAGAGTGGACCGGGTGGACCCGGAGCCGCTCAGCCCGCAACTAGAATTTGTACAACAACCCCCGTTCCGCCGCTCACCTCGGTCTGAAAAGCGCATCTGGACTGGCTGCATCCTGCGGTGTCTTGGCTAAGACTCCAGTCTAGGGGCTCCGGAGGTTGCTCGTGGTCTCAAGTTTCCCTCTGGGTCGTCCGGCCACCTCGCTCAGCACCATGTTGCCTTCCCCTAAACTCTCTCACCCAGACTCTGCCCCAGAGGATCCGATGGCAAACTTTTGCAACGGCCCTCCGGGGCGGGGCCCAGAGTCACCCCGCCTCCTGCCGCCCCTAACCCAAGCTTTGGCCGGCTGGTCCCCTGCTACTTCGCGTCCCCAGCCACGTCCCCGCCCCGGGCCACGTCCCCGCCCAGCTTCTCTGCCAATCTGCTGCGCCCGGGCTGTTAGGACCCAAGGCTGGGGCTCTTCATCCCTTAGGACTCCCCGTGCCCCTATTCCTCTACCGACCCCCTCTCCCGCCCCTTCCCACACTCAACACACAAAAAACCTGGATCCTGACCAAGGGTCTTCCGTCTATCCCGCAGATTCTCTGAGCTCCAGGACCCAGCAGCTGCAGACACCGAAATGGGTGCAGAGCTGGGCTTGGGTAGCCTGCCTAGGTGGCCAGGAGGACTTGAGCGGATCCGTATTATGTCTCCCCTCAAGGCGACTAGAGTAACCATTGCCTTGATAGGGACTGGTTCAGTCTGAAATTGGCCATCTACGGACTTGAGCTGATAAGCTAAGCTCCTCTGGTCCTCTGCCTCCCCCCCCCCCCCCCCCCATCCCTCTACCAGCCGCAAGGAAGGGCCCCCTGAGCCATTTGTGCGCGTGTCTTGGCTCTCGTGTCTTGCCCACCTTAGTAGCTCTTATCTCTATCACACCCCAGCCTACTCCAGTGCTCTGGGCAAGTCTCACCCCGTCATGCGGGAAGAAAGGAGAATCTTTGGAAGGAAACCACCACTCAGCTGCCAGTTACAAAGGAAACGCAAAGGCTCTCCAGCCCAGCTTAGGGAGGGAAAGAGGAGAGGAAGCAGGGCATGGCTAAATTCCTGAGCAGGCAGGGTCCAGGTCCCTCTTACCTCCTCTCAAGTGCTTTCTTGCCTAAAGAAGATGAACTTGGAGCAGGAAACTGCTTACTTGGTATTCGGCTGGCATGGGAAGGCAGAACTTGGCTGGCCTTGGCCTTCTCTGTTGCCTGGTGAGAAACACAAGCCCTCAGGGTCATGAGCCCTGCCTTGGCTGCACAGTGGCAGCGTGATTCCCCTGAGCTCTGGAAATCTGCTTCGTGTCTTGGAAGCTGTTTCTCTCCCCGAATGCAGTGGGAATGAGTGTGTCTCAGTCGTTTGACTCCTACAATATCCCGTTAAAGAAGAGGCTACTGCCGTCGAAGATGCTTCTGCAGTCACTACAGCCACTTCCTGTGGCCATACAGCCACTTCCTGTGGCCAGGGCAAGAGCACCGCATCTTGGCCTACCAAAAGGCCCAGTCTCTGACTGTTTTCCATTGTGTCACCATCACTGCCATGGCTGGTAGAGGTGTGGTTGTTACAGCTTCTGTATCTCCATTCCCCAGGAAAGTGGTGCTTATTCCTGATAGGACAGGGTGACCCTGAGTTCCTGTGACAGTTCCTCCAACAGCAGCCTCCCACAACCTCAGAAGTACCAGGCTTTCACTGCTAACAACAGGCTTTCCTAAGAGTGGTTTCACCCGCAGCATCTCTGAGGCGTCTCAGAAATCTGTATTTCAATGAAGCGTCTTTACTCCGGAGATTCCCAGCTGGAAGCAACTGTGCTCTCAGTCCAGGCCTGATGGAATTCCCACTCTGTCTGCTGTGGTGGAGGCCTTTTCTCTGTCTACTGTGCTAGAGGCCTTACCCCTTCTGCTGTTCTGTACCCAGACTAAAGCTCAGACACTCAATTCTCATAATGAGTCTCCGGCTTCATAGATCCCACTACAGACAGACTTCTCTGACTGAGTCTCCTGAGAGAAGAAGCCCTCCTGTCAGGTTTGTTGACTGAAAGTCTTCCCTGTGTATTGCTGGCTGGTGAGAGAAAGCCAGTTCACAAGCTTGGCAGGAATGGGGGAGTTAGGGAATTCTTGTTCTGCGACCATCCCTGAAAAGATAGAGTTGGATAAGCTTAGATGAAGGTGTGTGGGACAGTGTGCTGGTCACACAGCTCTGGCTGGAAACGAAGCAGCGCTTTCTGTGGAGATGTCAGATTGTTCTGTGGCCTCTGGACTGAGCCTTGGGCACTCTGACACTTTCTGAGCCTCATTCTCCAGGCGCTTGTGAGGGTGTCTAGGTGAGGAGAACACCTGGCTGTCACAGCAGAGGGCTAATCCATGTGGAGTGAGCTTTGCCTAATCCCTCGGGCATGACTAGACTGTTCCAAAGACAAAGGCCAATCCCCCCCCCCCCCCAGCTAGAGAGCAGCCCCCGCTGATGGCCTTTGGCTTCTCCACAGCAGTGCACATGGCTTCAGGCTTGAGTTGGCCCATGAGCTCCACAGAGTTTGGATTTGTTATGTTTGTGAATGAGTCAGTCTCTCCTGGCAGGTGTGTTGGTGTTACATGTTGTGCATACATGTATATATTCCATTGGACTGTTTTTCTGGAGAACGCTGACTGCTGGAATCATGGTCTCAGAGAAAAAAAGATGAATTCTTTACAGATAGACACCCTTGGAGAAAAAATTCTCTTGAGGCAGTGTTGGGGGCGTGGCTCTTACGGTCACTCGGCAACTTGATAGACAACCTCAAGCCACTTCCTCTCTGCTGATTTGCACCGCACAGATTTTGCGAGAGGTGGCTTTATGTTCAGACCTGGATGTGGGCTTGCAGAAAGGGACATGGCCCTGCATGTCACGACCCTATTTGGACCCACGGCGAGCCTTTGACTCGCTGCCACATCCTTCAGGGGGGAGTTCATTTCATGACAGCCATCTGCCAACGCAAGTGACTCCGGCACCTTGTCCCCATCACCACCCTCCTACTCCATCCCCTGTCGTCATCCTTGAGGTCAGCCAGGAATTCCGGGAACCATTCCTCTCACAGTTCATGTTTTAGAAAGAAGCCGCTGGCCTTCAGAGACATAACTCATATACACCATGCCCTTGTGGTGTGAGTGCTGGGAGAAAGTGTGTGTGAGATGTGGTGTTTGTGCAGTGTGTAGTGTGCTTTGCTTGGGCATGCCTGAATAGTGTGTGTTTGCGCCGCGTATCTGTAATGTAGTGTCTGTGTGTGTGAGTGTGGTGATTCATGTAGTATGTGATGTGTGCGCGCTCGTGAACTTGTATGTGATTGTGTGTTTGTAGGGTGTATATGCATATGTTTCTGAGGTGTGTGGTGTGTGATGTACATGTTTGTGTGGTGTATCTGTAGTGATATGTGAGTATGTGTATATAGTGTGTGATGTATGAGTTTGTATATGATGTGAGTATACTGCATGTTGTGTGTTTATGTGTGTGATATTTGTAATAGACATGGTATGTATTGGGGTACATGCTGAGGGAAATGTGTTAAATCTCTATGGAAGATAATTACAAGTGCCCTGAAGTTTAAAAGGAGATTGATGTTTGGCCTGTGGGGCTCCTGTGACAGAGTTTCCAAATCCTGAGACTGACTCTCCTTTTTACGCTAGCAAGATGACTAGAGGGTTAGTGTGAGGGTGGAGTCCAAATATAGAAAAGTCAACCGTGGAGTTAGAGGTGTGAAACCTTCAGCCTCTCCCCTGATCTGCACAGCAGGGAGGGCTGGGACAGTCCTGTCAACAGTAGCCAGTGATGGCATAGACTGCACCACTGGGGACAGAAGTCAGTGATGATGGCATTGACCGCATCGCTGTAGGCTCCATCAAAGACCCGCACCAGAGTCAGAGAGCTCCAGAAGGGTGAGCAGGTGGAGGAGGGGCAGGGGCTCCACGCGCTCTGCCAACCTTGCTCGCCCCCTGCCACAGCTCTTCATCTGGCTGGTCCTGAGTTGTGTCCTCTGCGACAAACCGTTATTCTAGTGAACAAAGAGCGTTCCTGACTTGGGGAGTTATTCTGAGGAACTCTGAAATCGAGGGTCATGAAGAGTTTCAGATCAGCACTGTGTGGGTGAAAACGTGAACCACTGTCTACAGTTGGGGGGTGGGGTCAGAACCCACATCATCCTCGCTACCTCTGGGCATGGAACAGCAGGGCACTGCGGGCTTTAGAGAAACAAAGAGCGGATCGGCGCTGGAATGATGGTGGAAACAGCTACCGAGACCCTGATCAGAAACAGTCACTGCACCCTGCCTTCTCTACTGCCAAGGTAGGGCTTCCCCCAGTGTCCCTCGTAGTCAGCTGAAGGAGCCCATGTCCAAGGAGGAAGTGAGCATCCTGCTTTCTGTCACCAGGTTGTTTGTCACCCTCACCTCCTCCAGGATCCTCTCCCACATTCTGCAGCTTTCTCACGCTGTCAATCACCCAAGCCCCAGAGAGTCTGGCTGGGAGCAATGCTTAGCGAGTCCTCTCCCAGGTTAACGTGTCTGTGCTTTGCAGGTTCTCATTTCCTCCAGGCTCTAGGATGTCCCCATGTCTGTGTCTCTAGGGTAATCATCTCAGTGCCCACAGTTCATAGCCCCTCCGTGTTTTATCATAGACAGTTACCCTGTGCTTATGGTGGAGAAATTCAACAAGATGTATACAGTCACAGAATTGCCCAAGATGCAAGAAGAGGGAAAAATCTGAGTCTGAGCCTGAGCACTGTGAGTAGGAATGGGGCGTGTCTGTGGGTGTATTAGCGCTCTTGTGATAAGATGCCATGGCGGCCCTTCAGATGAAGACGGCAGGGAAGGCACCCGTCCATTTTTATAAATTTGTGTGAGCCTGTCATAGAGAGTGATTCCCCATCTAATCATCCTCAAAAGCCACATAGATGGTTCCAGAAGCCCCTCAGATGCCTACACCGGCAAGTGTTCAAGTCAAAATGGTGTTGCTTTCAGCCTGTAATGGGTTTCCCATAGGCTTTGTGTTTGTTGTTGTTTTGTGAATACATGTGTGCACAGTATGTGTGCAAGTGAGTGTGTGTATGAGTGGGCATGCCCTGTGTGTGCATATTTGAAGGCCAGTGACAGACATTGAGGTGTCTTCTGCTACCACCATGGGTTTTCTTTTTTTTTTTTTTTTTACTTTCTCTTTTCTTTCCTGTCATTTCCTTTCTTTACTTTTTTCTTTTCTTTTCTTTTTTTTTTTGAGACAGGGTCCCTCACTGAATTTGATGCTCGAATTGGTTAAACTGGC